ACATGAATATGCATTATACAACGGTATTTTCGCAACAAGTTCGCACTAACTACGGCTGCAATAATTTAGTCGCTGTAACATTCCTTGCAATCAGCTGTTGATGACGCTTCTGACGCATGTTTCCAGAAACGTGTGAGTTTATTGGTGGTTATAGTCCATTTTTTTTCAAAAGGCTCATGGCCCGAAGTATTATTTTGGAGTTGGCACGTGCGAGACGCTAGAAAATAACGCAAGCTGAGATAAATTTCTCGGCCATTTTTGAAAGATAAGTACAGTGCAACGGAGCAAGTTGTTCAATTTAGCTTATAAATCGTGTCACATTGCAGAATGTTAGTAAATTCATAGATTTGAGCCATTCTGTTGGTTTTGCATGCAAATTTAACGTCACTCATAGAGTAACATTGATTCGACAGCCAGCTCATCACTTGAGAAACTAGCAAGCGGCAAATCTTTAAACATTCAAGACAGAATCTGTCGGGGGCCGGAATTTTGAACGGCAAGCTCATGGAAAACATGTAATTGTTAGCTGCTGAAGCTGGTGACGTTCCATATTGTTGTCTTAACTCTTACATTGTGTTCTCGCATGCTACGTACAAACTTCAGTCGTCTGTTAAGTCTTTCCAGATTTAGAAGCGCATACCCGACTTCTTCCCAATGCAGAAATCGATCGATCAGCATTGTAATAGATCGGCAGATATGCTGGCTCATGTTTCTTTTTGTACTCAACAGAAATAAACGTAAAACAAAATGCCAATCGGTGTGTTACTTTTGTAGGCCTGCAAACAGGTCATCCACGTGATCAATCTTAATAATTTGTTTAGTACCTATGGCTAGACCCCGTGTGGAAGCATTTTCGATTCACAGCTCCTCATTATGAGTCGTATGTCCATACTTTTTTCCAAACTATCCACAAGTCAGAGACCAGCCGACCGAGCCGACCTGTCTGATTTCGAAACGTACCAAGCCGGTGTTCGTTGATTTCTGTAAAAAAAAACATCACTTTGCACGTGACAATTCTAAAATCGATTTTCGGGCCGTGCGCCTTTTGAAATAAAATGGACTATAGTTGGTTTTTGATGGGATTTTGCATAATTTGTTTTATGTGTAGATCGACTGGATACTCATTATTCAACGTGTCACTATTTATTTTTAACTGGAAATCGCATATCTTTTTATATCAACATTCATTTTGATAACAATATCATTCTAGAAGCCTAATATTGAGAGGGAGCTAGAGTGAAATTTTGATCCTCAGCCAATGCTGAAGGGTAAGGTGAGAGAAAGATTTTACTGAACTCTTTTCAGAAAGGAATTTCAAATGTAGGTATTGATGCATTATTCATTTTCCGCTATCCAGTGTGCACTTCCTGAGGACTTAGCATAGAAATTTCAAGTCCTTACTATTTGTTTGGCTGCCTTTTTCTGCACAGCAATGAAGCAAGTAAGGTTTATATAGCTCTAGCATTGACCCAGCTGTATTTTTTTCTTGCAAAAGCAGGTTTTTAAAATTGCGGGTTTTTTGCGGGTTCGGCTCAGCCAAAATCAGCTTGCGGGTAGTTGTGGTTGGGCAAGGGGTAGCTGCGGGGCGGGGCGGGTAATGAAATTGCAAATTTGTGGCATCTCTAGCACTGGGAAATCATATCACACTGAGCACAAGACAATATATGATGGGCAATATGCAATATACACAAGGTCATGTAAGGTGATTTGGTTATGTTTAACACTGGACGCATGTACGGGGACCCGCAGTTGCTACTGTACAGCGACCCTGAGTAAATTGTCCCAGCACCCTCACAGGGAACAACGATAAGCTGTCAAAGGGCACGCACAGAAAACCTCAGCTGCTCTTGTACAGGGACCGGCAGTCGATATCAATGTTATCGGTTGTTACTGGACAGGACAGACGGCTAGAGTTGGGGTTCGTGTACAGAAGCAACTGCGGGTCCCCGTACGGCCGGCGCTGTACGAACCGGCACCGGAAACCCAGCCCCAGCCGGGAGGGCGGGGGGGGGGGGGTGCCGGCCCGTCTGGGAGATGGGGTGTCACTACTCACAGCGTAGGCCCGGCTCGCCTAACAGTCACCGCTCGGGAATCGTTCCCTGTCGACACGCCCACTGTCGGAGACTGCGGGGTGAGCAGCTGATTGATGAGGTGCTGCCTGAGTCCGAGTATTTGCGCAGCTGCGCAGACCGTCCTTATAGGCTTCGATGGTCGGCTGGTTAGCTCAGCGGCGGGGGCCGTCCCCTCAGTCGCCCCGACCGGCGGGGGACCTCCCGCGGCGGCGCTCGGTCACCCACGCGTTGATGGCGTCAGCGGCCTGCCAGGCGGGCCCCGACCCGCGGCGCGCCGAGCGGGCTGGCTCGGTCTCCCGTGGTCGGAGTTCCCGGAAAGCGTCGGCTCCCACGATATCTTCAAGGTCAGCTGGCTCTTTGATTGAGACTGCAATGTCTCCCTCTGTCTTCTTCACGCGCACACAGCCGTTGGTCGTGTAGGCGGCCCACAGAGACTTTCGTTTCCGGAGCTGCCTAGCCAAGAAGAATAGGTGCTGGTTCTTAGCTGTAAGGCACTCTGACACAAAGATGCGGCTAATTACTGACCGGGTCAGCACCGGATGGCCACCCACCTTTTCAGCCGTCAGCTTATGATGTTTGCTTGCATTAGCCGCGCGTTTGCAGTCTTTTCGTGGTTTCAAGCGTTTAAACATGCGATATTATGATGTTGGTCCCATGCATTATGGTCGGTGTCAAGATCACTTGAATCTTAGGTCAGTTCACTGACCTTTGATGACCTCGGCTCACCTTTTTTTAGTTTTACATGCTTCCAGGCTAGTTTTTGGGGCTGATTTCGAATTTAGTAACCATTTGAACAATTAGGAAAAAGTTTTGGTGCCTTCGTAACATGCAACGAAGCTGGTCAGTGCACACAGAAAAATATTGACACCGTTAGCGGTGTAATTGCACAGTACATATCTGAGCACTTGAGGAAAGTTAATTTAGTCCCTTCCCCGCTTAAATTACTCTCGCTTCTAAATGAACACCAGGAAGAAGGTAATAGAACACTGTTAGGAGGGTTGGGTGTTTTACTACATGTAGCAAAACACCCAACCCTCCTAACAGTGTTCTAGTACCTTCTTCCTGGTGTTCATTTAGAAGCGCGAGTAATTTAAGCGGGGAAGGGACTAAATTAACTTTCCTCAAGTGCTCAGATATGTACTGTGCAATTACACCGCTAACGGTGTTAATATTTTTCTGTGTGTGGCGGTTGACACCTATTAATTATGAATACCCGGCAGGACGCCTACTGGTTGGCCTGACCTGACCTGACCCGACCTACGTTCGCGGCTAGCAAAACACCAATACGCGCGAGGGTTAATGACATGAGGGTGCTTATGGTGTAAGTCTTTGTTTTTACTCCCACTCCCATTGCTGAGGTTCAGTCCTTTCGGTGCGTGTATTTCAGCAACTGTCAACCGATTCATGTGCTTCACCAGGAACATTCACACAGAAACATAATTAGATGTTGATTTTTTTTTCAAGCAAGCTTTGGACCATCATTATAATTTACCAGAGAAATGACGGGAATTTCGTAAACGATTTCTCCTCCTAATATGCCCATCATTACTGGGACTCACAATTTTATGCCTCTTATTTGCGGTTAAATTCCAGGACTTCGTAATCAGAGTCGGAGTCGTTCGGAGTCAACAGTTTTGACCCCAGTCAGAGTCGGAATCGGAATCGATTTTGGAATCCAGACCAAGACTCGTAGTCTGAGTCACCGAAAATCCATCGACTGCGTGGAATTGCTATGGCTGCGGAGTCAGAGTTCGAGTCGATCGTAGTCGACAGTTTTGCCCGGAGTCAGAGTTGAAATTGACTTTTGAAAGCCGTTGTCGAAGTCGGAGTAACTCCATCGACTTCACAGCCCTCGTAAGCACATCACCCGTCGTAAGCTAGTTCTCCTTACTTTTAGAGGCGGAACTATGCCATAATATGTCAGCAAGCATTTATAATGCATCGTAAAAGGTCTCACATAGGTTTAAGTGTCAATTTTGAAACCAGGGAACCATTTTCAACGGAACTGAGCAGCGCTGGGATTTAATTCGCGCTAAACTGGTATTTGGCCACACTGTGCGGCCGTCCGCGACTTGCCGCCCGCCGGCTGCTGGCCGGTCCGGGCCGCCCGCGGCTGTCGGTGCAGTGCGGGCTGCCTACTTGCGGGGGGCCGTCGTGGCGGCGGCTCGGGTGGACTGGGCGAGCAGTGAGTTGGGGACCGCTGCGCTGTATGGTGCTCGAGTTTGTATTGCGCTCGCTTGATATGGCTTGAGCCAATACGATGGCTCAAGCCATATCAAGCGAGCACGCGAGCACGCAATATGAACTGATGGAGCTGAGCAAGTCTTTAAAAGCACTAATTGTAGATATTTTGTAGATTTATTTTTAATCTAAATATTTAAAAACACAAAAAAGAGATATGTGTAAGAAACGGCTATAACTTGAAATAATCGTTTTGGGAAAAATGTTGCGAATGGCTTGATTTTATTTCCTTTATTAGCATACAGATTAACTTGTCGGCTTCTCTCTGCTAATGCATTTCAAATTAATAAATGCATAATTGATATGGCCCAAATATGTCGCATATTTTTCGTTTTTGGCTCTTAAACGCCAGCTGAAGAAAGTGGTCAAAATACCTTAGTGCTCCGGCGGCAAACCGGTTTTACCTACATAGTCCTCTATATACCGTGGGTGTCATACGGCGTGGCCGACGCGGCCTCAGGTGAACGACGTGCCGAGAACGACGAATGCGCTGCATCTGTGACCGCCGTCTTTTACCCGTTTTGCTATCAACCAAGAATAGACTTTTACATATACGATCAATGGTCCTCCGGGTGACGAAAGAGAACGAGTTCGAGAACAAGTGAACGATCGCGAGCACGCACGAACATTTCTGGTCCTCCGGGCCGGATGGCGTAGTAAACGAGTGATTTATACGATTCTCAGGAACAAGTACACCTATGTATATTTACACTTATGTATATAGACGCACTCTGACAAACTAGCTGCAGTTTGACGGACCTCGGACAACAACTCTTCAACAGCATAATGCAGTATGCCGAGCTGCTGAGTTTGCCCACACTATCACGAACATTGTTGTGTTAATTACGTGCAAAAGGTGCCGAGCACCGGCAGCCCGGTGGCCGGCCGCGGCACGAGCGTCGCACGGTGCAGCCGCCGCGGCGGCTAGCGCGGCTAGCGCGGCGCCACTGCAGCTCTCAGTAGGCCTCCCGGTTGCGCTCGATCCAGCTCCTGAGCGAAGCCACCCGCGTGTAGACGCCCGGATACTCTGGCTTGGCGCAGCCGATGCCCCAGGAGACGACGCCCACCTGATAGACGACTCCATTGGTGACGTGCATCAGCGGGCCGCCCGAGTCGCCCTGCAGTCGAAAGACATTCCGCACATCAGACAGATATCCCAGACAGCCGGACATCAGAGACATTGCGGATATCAGACATACGGTGTTAACCAGCCTTTTTGTTTCATTTTCGAGACCGTACTTCTTTGTTCATCGTTCAAAATGAAAAGTAACCCACCAAAAGGAGCAATGGCTGCGATCGGGAATAAGGCTGTCTTAAATGGGCTACTCATTAGGATGTAAGTTAAAGTTAGTGCATAATTCGTTCGCTGTTACATTTATCTAAGCTTTCGCTCAACATTGATCGTCATCAGGGAAATGAATATACACAAGTGTTGCCGCGCAATATATGTCGCAGATGAATAAAATATTAACATTTCTTCACACATCGTCCTATTTGTACCGGATGATCATTTTGGAGTGATATAAAATAAATGCGTCACGTGGAAATATAAAACGAAATATTTTGCTTTTAGGTGCAGATTTAGGATGCAGGATACCGGGACATATTGTGTTTTGTCAGTATTGCCCAATGTTAACTTTCATCGCGATATTATCACTGTGGTGTCTGCTATCTATCAGCATGCCTCGTAAGTAATTATTTATCAAGTTTTGTTGTGTCAAACATTTGTTAATGAATAAAAATTGGCTGCGTCAGTATCGTCTAATGATCGCAACTTGGGTTCAACTGAAGGTATCATGGATTTTATTTGTACTGTGAGAAACTGTTCACTCAGAAATACAAGTATATTCAACCCAGTCGACGCTGTGGGCAAAGCGGGACAAACAGATAGTTAGAACACTTCCCAACAATGCCAACCACCCCATGCAAGCAATGCAAGGCGCCGCCATCGCATTCGCTTAGCATGCCAGATTAATCCAAAGCGAACGTGCAAACATGCCAAGTGCCAACAGTACATGCTCCAGCCCAGGCCGTACATACAAATAGGGGCACAATTAGTCTGGACAACCTTACAGACTGTATTTATATTATTATATAATGGTATAGCCCATCATTGTCAATTGGGTCACCATTTTTGGATAATGATAGCACACTTAACACTGCCTTGACCGGACTTGAATTGAATGACTTGGTTTAAAAAGAACGTTTGATGGTTCTGGCATGAATGAGATTCATGGTTCAAGTTATTGCCCTAACACATCATGCAGAGAACTTGAATTCACATCCCAGTCAAACAACTGACCTGAATATTTGTTAATAGCTACACGATACAGTTGTAAAGGTTTTTTTTCCAATGCAAATAAGAGATTGCCTGATTTTGTTTTTGTTGCCTTATTTTAAAGCATTGCCTTTCCATGCTTAACATGTTTTTTTTTTGAAATTTAAATTGTTTTCATAATTCCCTGAATTCGGTATCTATAGTCCATTTTTTTTTCAAAAGGCGCACGGCCCGAAAATGGATTTTATAATTGTCACGTGCAAAGTGGCGGTTTTGACAAAAATCAACGGACATCGTCATGGCACGCCCAAGGCCATATATAGGCCTTGCATATATAGGGCACGCCTCGAAATAAGGGTGGTCGGCTCAGGTCGGCTAGTCTCCGGTTGGCAATAGTTTTGAAAAAAAACGTACACACCGCTCATGATGAGGAATTATGCATCGAGCATCCTCACGGCGTCTGGCCACAGGCACGAAACAGATGATAAAGATAATCATATGGATGAGTGTTTCAAGACCTGCGGAAAACAGCACACAGATTGGCATTTTGTTTTACTTTTATTTCTATAGAGTACAATGGAAACATGGGCCAGGATACCCGGCGATCCATCACAAAACTGAACAATCGATTTCTGCACTGAAAAGGTCAGGTATGCGACAACTTAGTTTGGTTTACTCTGATTCGAAAGACGAATAAAAACACGATTGAACTTATCACGTAGCACGCGGAAACGTAATGTAAGACATCAATCTAGAACATCGCAAGCTTCAGCGGCTGACGACTGGCATGTTTTCCATGAGCTTGTCGTTCAGAATTCTGGCTATCAAGCCCTAAAGAAGCACCCATTATTTTCCTGTCTTGGTTGTTCAAAGATTGGCCACTTGCTATTTTTTTTTTTTAAGTCAAGGGCTGTCGAAGCAAGGTTTCTCCAGGAGTGACGTTAAATTAAAATGCAAAATAAAAATGGTTTCAAATGTAAAAAGTTACCAACATTTTTAAATATGACACAATTTAAGTGTTAAAATAAATTGCTCCGATGCAACTACGCTAGCTTCTAAAATGGCCGAGTTTTTAATCTCGGCTTGCGTTGTTTTCTTGCGTCTCGCACGTGTTAACTCCAAAAACATGCTTCGGGCCGTGAGCCTTTTGAAAAAAATGGACTTTTATAGTCGGTATTTTCCCCTATTTCTGAAAATCGGTTTGGTTTTGGTATACTCTCAGTGGTTTTGGTCGGTATCGGTTTGGTATCGGTTTCCAAAATTTCTGAAATTGACATCACTAATCGGTATACCGAAATTTTGGTAACCGATTGACACCACTAATCTCTAATTCTCTTTCTTCCTTCAAGGTATAGTTATGCTCGCCTGTGATGCATTTGCCGCAACGGCAGCCGCCGCATATAGGAATGGGTCTCACTCCAAGATTTTCTAATATGTCCTCTATATCACTAGAGACCTTCTTTGAAGCTTCTATTTTTATATGTTGTAGGTGACCTTCAATATTAACATGTTTGATTCGTAGTGTAAATTGGTGGTGTGGCCGGTGGTGTAAATTGGCCGCCCCCACCCGTACAATATCTGATAAAAGTGAATGAAATAACTCGAGTCTCTATTCATTCCTCATGGGTAAAACTAACTCAAGGACAAATGTCAAAACTTCCCCCTCATAGTTTTCTTCAAAATAAATAAAACGTGAATTTCATTAGAAACTGGCAACTTTTACATCTGCTTAAAAAGTTGTAAACCATGTAGTACCTACATGGTTACCATACCTACCTACATGTAGTACCTACATGTAGTACCTACCTACATGTATTTGGGCTGTAAACGAATTCCGACACTATAGAGGGGTGTTCAGCAGTTCCAAGAGCAATTTCATTCAGTTCCGTACAGCCATGACGACTTTATCCCGCGCCCTGCTGGGGGGGTGTTTGAACACCCCCCATTGTGGTTTTTCGCAAATATCTCAAGCCGCCGCCGTTTTTGGTACACCTTATCATACATCAATTCTACACATGTTGTGAAAATTTCAGACCAAGGTCATTCAAGGTCAGGTCACAAGGTCACTTGAAGTGACCTCACCTCATAAAAAGTTTCAATGTCTGTCATAGCTACACCGAGTGACCGATCGCTTTGAAACTTTCAGCAATTGCTAAGAGCAATAGCATGTACAAAATGTATATCTCAGAATTTTGATATCGATGACCTAAGGTCAGGTCAATTTTGCGACCTCCCCATTATGGGAGAAATGGGAGAAAATTGAAATGCGCCTCTTTTGGACGAAAGACAATATAAACACTCCCAAACACCGAATTACAAGTGGTTTAGACACACTGAACATGAAAATGGCGTCCGTGACCCTTGTTTGTCCCTTGAGGTTATCTTAGGTCACGAATGGTATCTAACAGTTTTTCGCAAATAACTTTTGATAGAGGCATGCTAGAGCGATGAAAACGCCTTAGATGTGTTCAGCTCGACGATACGGATCGACTGCTATGCAACATGACCCTTTCCGGTCAGGTCATGACCTTGACCTAAGGTCAAATTTTCAAGTTGACCTTTCAAGGTCAAGTTATAGTTCATTCGATGCGTCTTGACGAGAGGAACGCGATGCCGGTAAAAGTAAGCTCGTACAGGGCTTGGGTCAAAAGTTATTGCAGAAAAACTGTTTCCGAAAAATCGGCTATTTTTGCAGTTTTTGCCCCCTGCAGGCAAAACCGTTGAAGTTAAGTCAAATATGAGAGAATTACTCAGAAAGGGCGTTGATAGGGCTATCGAATGCGCTTTTCCGCGGCGCTGTAGCTCTATTGGTTCCCGAGTTATGCGTTGGCTTCTTGGAAATTTTCGACATTCGACGTGGAAATCGGCGAAATTTTGCCTTCCATGACTTCTGGTGACCTGACCTTTGACCTGACCAAAAAATTGACCAAAGTGATTTCGTCATTATTTTTGACGCTCTTTCGAACGCCGCCTTCCGCGTATCGCTACGTGGCCCAGGAGCCGAGTTACAAGGGGGGGGGGGTGTTCAAACATCCCCCCAGCAGGGCGTGGAAATCCAGGATCCCCAGCCGGGCGCGGGTTATAGACAAACAATTTCAGAATAGCAATGTGGGGTTATTTGGCCGGGACTAGCGGGGCAACGTGGCCGGTGCGCTCAGGGTCGCTTTGCCGGGACGACCGAGTTGTCATGGTCAATTATACCATAAATGACATAATTCATGAGCAACTTTGACTACCTTGATGCCTTATTTCCTATTGGACAGCTGTAAGGCCTTGTGACGTCATCAAAGATAACCAAACGTTTTTTGCTAATACATCCTAACAGAAAAAAGATACAGCCGCGGAAATAGTCTCATTGTGTTCAGCTCGTCAAGCCGCATCGGATGATCTACATGATGACCTTGAAATTACGTGACCTTGAGGTCAAGCGACTTGAGGTAGCATGACCTGAAGTCAACCTTTGACCTTGACCTCTAGAGGTCAACACATATATGTATCGATGTGGACTGACGAGAGAATTACGATGCTACTTTTAGTTTTGACCTAGCTTGATTACTTCAAAAGTTATTCGCAAAAAAACTGTGATCGCATCTAGAGCCGCTATTTCGATTATTTTCGACCCCTGTGACCGCTGAGTCAACCTCCGAAATGCGTCAAATGCGTCGTAGGACACACGTCATTGCTGAATGTGAAGCTGACTCGCCTATAACAACAAAATCCCGGCCTCAAACTAACACCGGCCAAATTGCCCCACACCCCCGGCCAAATAACCCTGCTAGTTGGGCAATTTGGCCGACTTGCAGACCTTCATTATACGTCACAATTGCAGTATAGGTAAGT